CTGTTTTCGGTCAGGAAGAGAGAGCTCAGTTAGGAGCAACATGTTGCGTTGGTGTGTCAACATGAAGACTGTTCCCAGAGGTAGAGTCTCTGCCCTGTGACTGTTTTATCCAGAGCCAGGCAACCTTTCTTCCAGCAACAGCTCTCTCTTACTGTTTTCCCAAGGCATTCTCTTTTCCTTCTTCTTAAGTCTTAGATTTGGCAGTTAACCAAGTTGAAAAGGACCCTTCAAAGTCAAAGTAAACAATATTTAAGAAATCTTCTACAAATGTTTGTTTCAGGAGGAGGGGGGACAAACGGCAGCTGTCTTTGAGCAGGGTTTGGTTCTAATAAGGGGCCTTTTGTGGGATCATACCTGAAGTAATCTGGTCTTGTGCTCCAGCTGGCACTGGTCCCACCTTTGTACCGTGAGAACATTGGGCCCATCAAATACTATTAAGGGAAGATGGGCTTTTTCAATGCCAAAATACATGCAGTGAAAGACTTATTTGGTATGACCTGTTCTAGTGCTGACAAGCTGTTTTCTTACTGATAGCCTACCTTATGTGGCCTGAAAAACCTGTGGTTCTCTTGCAGTCCAGTCATGATCTCTGTGATAGGAAAAGAGCAAAATCTGGAGTAGTTCAATGTTTTATGTCCCCAGATAATCAGCTAGGTGAAGCCAGCAAAAGGATACCACCTGTGAGTTATTCCAGGGTAAAATAATGATCCTGTAGTCCAGCATCCCATCTGTGTGGTCAAAATGCTATACTTCTGTTGGAATGCTTTCTAGACCAAGCTGAATGCATTATTTTAAGCATTCAGCTTGATCTAGCTTGTTTACCTGTCTTTAAAAAAATTACTCTGTGAGCACCTTACTTTCTTCTCGTAGGTATCCGAGTTGTTTTGGGCAGTAAGGACTTGCCTGCATGTAGTGTATGGGTTAGGGACAAGACTATGAGGGGGTACTGCTCCTAGGCACATCCCATGTTGTCAGCCTGTAGTCAGATACACTTAGAGCTCCCATCTTCAGCAACTGCCCACTTCTGCTGTGATGGGTACTGGCCAAAGATGCCCGTGGAGGAGACAGCTGGTGTCCCCCAGTGCAGACTGCGTGGTGCACCAGGTGGACATCTGAAACAGCAGAGAGGTGGGAAGGACATGAGCATTGCCGAAATTTCTCCTCTCTCAAGTCTTAGATTTAGCAAACAGCAACATTCCCAGGTCATTGTTTCCAGGCACTATATTAATGTGATCATTACCAGTTTCCTGCGCTACTTAGTTAAAACCTCATATAATATTTACACTACAAAACACTTATGTATGCAAGTAAGACCATTTTGTTACATCTCTGCTTATACCCCCGATCACGTACCCCGGGGATTATGTTTGACAGCATTATGCTGCAGAATTTAGGTTAAGGAGTTGTTTTCCCATGTGCCCCTTATAAAGGAGTTAGAACTTGACTGTTTCATTGCTTATGTTATAATTATCAGGAACTTTTCTTTCTGTGATAAAGTACTTTGAGAAACAGACTGTGAGCCAGGCTGAGCTTCATGTTTCTCATACCCAGGTCTGCATTTGTTATGCAGTAATAGTCCAGCTATTTGGCTAATGAGCGGGCTATTTATCTGATTGACTCTCCTAAGAATATGAAATGCTGTGAAATGTTTCAGAAAGAAAACACAGTTTTCCAGATAAATCTTCACACTGTCTCATTGGAAGGGAAAATTCCAACCCCTTTGGCTATGTTTTCTAAGCAAACTAGAAACTGCTATGGAAACTCATACAATAAGCTGGGTTCTCAGCTGGGTTATACTGTCATAGAGCAGCATTGCATACTGAAAGTGTTACTTAACATCAGCAAGAAATGGCATCCAAAATTTCTATAAGCCCTAAGTTGTGCTGTTTCCGTTCCATATTTGTTAGATAAGACAGCACCAACCCTTGAGCATGCTGGAAGAGTGTGAAAATTGAATTTCTTTAGTGCTTACAGAGTACTCACGTGTTACAGAGCAGAACAACATAGGAAATGTCATGAAGAAACAATTTTCTCTCTCTCCTAAACAGTGCACTGCAAATAAAGCCTGAAGCCAGACAGTAAGCAGTGAAGGAAAAACCAAAATGTTTACTTGTTAACTGAGCTTCTCCATCGTAATTGCAGAGCAAGGCAAGGAGCCCATGGGAAAAGGTTTCTGGGTAGCCTGTGTAATTTAGAAATGAGCGGAAGGCTGAACCAGTGTGGTGCAGGCAAACTTATTTCTGCTGTTTCCTAGCATTGAACAATTTGACTTTGCAGCATTAATGGAATCATAGAATATCTCAAGTTGGAAGGGACCCATGAGGGTCATTGAATCCAACTCCCTGCTGCTTGCAGGACTACCTAAAACTAAATCATAGGACTAGGAGCATCATCTAGACACTCCTTGAACTCTGACAGGTTTGATGCCGTCACCACTTCCCTGGGGAGCCTGTTCCAGTGACCAACCACCCTGTCAGTGAAGAACCTTTTCCTAATGTCCAATTTGAACTTCAATAATGTTGTATTAATATTAATCATTAAACTGGATGGTATGCTAATGAAGCCAGAAGGTCATTCAAGTCACTCTTACTGCACCCATTAAACTGTTGCAAGCAACAACAGCAAAACCAGTCAATGCAATGTGATCCGTTATTTCCTTAACGAGCCATTCTAAAACAACTGGCATGCACCAGCCTGCTGTCGGGGCTGCAAAGACCGGCAGCCACCAACGTGCAAAACGAAGAAGTACTGCGCTTCTTCCATTACCAAGATGAGAGTTCTTTCTGTTATCCTGGTTTTTGATGTCTCTGAAGGGATGTGGCCTTGAGGAGAGGGGGCAGCTTCTTGGGTCTGTCTGGTCACTGTCACCACCAGACAGCTATGTAAATAGAAACCCCTCTTGAATGAACAGAGGCTGGGAGCTGATGAAAGAAAGTTCATAGGTTGCCACAGTTAGACAGCAAGGGACATTTGAACAACACAGAACCAAGAACGTTCCCAGAGGAAACAGCTGTGAAATTTTTCATTTGGTTACGCAGCTGCTCAGAGTTTGTGTTCACTTGATCACTCGCATAAAACTGGAGAACCTCCCAGATTGCCGAGAGGAAAAGGCAAGTGAAGGGGATGCTTCACCCGTGAAGCACTTGCTCTGATGTTTTGTGTTAAATGGAGGAGAAAATCTAATACAGTGTATGAAGACTGCAGCTTTGTACAACTGAAGCTAGATATTTGATTTGCTCAGCCGTACTGTCTTTTGTATTTCTGGAAATAGAAGCCTACTGAAGATAGCAAGGAGACAAATCCATAAAGAAGCTGAATGTGGAGGCCACTGCTCTGGCATTTGAGTAGTACTGGAGTAATATCAGGCATCTCCAAGCATGCATTGATTTTCTTCTTACATTTTCTTTTCATCTGAAACCAGTGAAATACTGTCTGAGTCAGATGAGAAAGGTAGCATTAGGTCTATAATTCTCTATAAATGTGTGCCCTGATTTGAACCACGATCTAGAAGATAAAGGAGACGTCTTTCAGATATCACAGGAAGCAATTGAAAGATCGAGAATCTGAATGCTCTCAGACTCGTAATTAGGATAATAGTTAAGTCTGTAGAGCACTAATGTGCTCGGGTCAGAACCTGAAAGGCAGAGAGGCATTTGCTGGAGATGCTTTATAGCCTGAGTCCATAGTTCAGGAAGCTACTTCCATATGTGCTTGTTCCAGCTGAGAATAGTACTCATGTAAATTTTAAGTGGATATTTAAAGCAAAACTAGTATTTGGAGTGATTTGGGAAGTACACTTAGAGACAGAACCTAGGCTTCGCAAACTGCTGTAGATACCAAAAATAGGTCAAATCAGATGTCCTGTAGCTAAGAGATTCTCAGCTGCATGTCTAGAGTAGAGTTAATTTGTAGATTCAGATGTCTAAATTTAGATGTTCATATTGTAGCTGCGTAACATAAATAGCATAGCTCCGGTGATGATCTAGTCAATAATAGGGCCAAGAAGGTGTTCAGTCCAGTCTAAACTAAACATCTGCATTTGATCTGCTAAACCATTTCCTACATCCATTGGTGATGATGGGAGCAGTGACACCTAGATCATGTAGCAATCACTTGATGTGTAGGCACTTAAAAGTGTGTATCAGATTTCGGGGCTGAGTCCTGCTCCTAAAGTTTAGTGAGATTAACTTGTCCACAGTAACAGAGCGTAAAACTGTTCCTTGATAATCCAGAGATGAGAATGTGCTAGCCTGGACCCCGACGCTTATTTTATGGAGCAATGAAACACTCTCCATTCAACAGAAGTATTTCTGTTGTAGTGGAGGCACCAGTCAAGCAGGATAGGGCTGCTCTAGCCTTTTTCATTTGTATTATTGGCAATGTCCATAGTCTGTCAATGTTTAGTATGGGGAGAGGCTCATCCCTCTACTTTATCTATGCCACCATTGTATCCCTACTGAAGGCTGATATCCATACCAGCGTGGCTCATCCTGTGGACTAAAGAGATCAGGGCAGTGAATGACACCAGGACCAGATTAACATTTCCTCCAGCATCTGTGCGTGGCATGGTTTGGTCACTGTCACCCAACACAGTTTGCTCTTTATGATACTGGTACCTGGGAAAACTGCCTGTATTCTGGACCATTTGAAAGCTGTCTTGTAATAGATGGAGGGAATAACTGATGGTCTGAGTTATCCAAGAACTTGGGCTGATTGCCTGACTCTAGTGTGTTTAGTCATGCAGTATTTCCCCATGGTCTGTCTCTTGGAGCAACGTTCGGATGATTGTCTTCTTCCCAGCACTGACCTGACTGAGGTGGAGGAAGGAAGTGCAACACTGCACTTCTCCTTATTCAGTGAGTAGCAGTTTTCTGGGAATAACGGTGCTATGGTGAGAAATATTTAGGTTTTTACCATACTTCATCACAATGGTATTTCTTAGTAATCCTTTTTTTCTCCCCAAATCTATCATCTCATGGTCTTTTTTTATTTTCTTACAGGAGGAGCTGGGCATTGCCTGTGAGTTGCTGGAGTCAGACTTCCTCAAGTGCAGCGTGGGATTTCCTTTCATGAGATCGAAATCTAGGGTAATTAATGTTGTGATATTTGCATTTGTAGAGTGATGATCCGTTCACCTCTTTGTCTCCAAGGAGTGGCTGGAAAGACAACTGCTCTGTTAAATGTCTGTGACTGATACTTTCTGCAGCTTTCTAACCCAGATATCCAAGCCTCTCACGGTGGTGGATGGTAGCTGTCCTCTTTCCCACCAGGTAGAGCCAGTGACAGTTCCCTTTGCACTGCAGTTCCAAGTGCTCTTGAAAAACAGTGCCAGAGTTGCAGCTATGAAAAACTTACATATTTTCTCTGCATAAAATTAGAAAAGGACTCTGTCTTATTTATGTTGTCTTAATCTGGTTTTATTTTTGTCTTCTGCATTAAAGTGCAACTGAATTTCTACGAATTACAATGAAAATGTCTTAATGACGTTTGCATATGATGGTCTTCTGGTAGCTTCTAAAGAGGATTTTGTCCTGTAATAGAAGAGGAACTCTCGTAATGTTTAGAAATGCAGCTAGGTTCTTTCTGTCACTAAATCGAGCTGTACAAATGACCAACCCAGAAAGGTGAGAAGATGAGGAATAACTTCAGGATGACCTGAAGAAAATAAGTCTAAAATGTTTCAGAAAATTTCAGCTTCAAAAACTAATCCTTTCTGTTTGAACTGACATATCCTTTGACCCTACGTGAAATTTTGTGGTTTATGTGTTTTATGGACTGTAACATTCAGCTTCAAAAACTAATCCTTTCTGTTTTAACTGACATATCCTTTGACCCTACCTGCTCTTTTGACACATTTACAAATGGAATGGAAAAAATAAATCCAGTAGAAAAATATTATCTGGAATGTAAGAATGTCAGTGTTTTGCTTCAGAGTGACATAGTTGGGTTATCTTCAGGTTGTTTTTAGCAAGCCATTGAAATTAGCATGAATTTGGAGACTGTTTCACTTGGCCAAAAACTGTTTTGGAGTTAGGTGGAAAAGTTGTTGCATTGAGAAGTTAATGTGGTGCTACTGTGGTCATCAAAGTAGATTCTCTTTTCAAAATTAGCACCTAATTTTATCCATTATGACGGGTGGCCTGAATACTGCTTTAGTTTGTGGCGGTTGCTCTAAGATTCTGTGTGGGCCTATGGCGTGATCTTTATTCCCCGAAAAGATCTTTTCACCAGCAAGTAATGTCTAGATTGGTGCTGAGATAGTTTTGGGTAGTGATCGCCTTACACTGGAAGTCTCTTGCCCTGGCAGATGATCTCCTCAAGAAAATATCTTTGAAGGGCAAATCTAGTGAAGGTCTTTTCACAATGACAGAAAACTCGGACTGTCTAGTATTTGAACAGAGACACAATTGCTAAGATTTAAAAGCTACTCTACAGTAGAGGAAGCCCTCTTACATGTATCAAAATACACTACTTTTGTACAGCTAGGCCAGTAAAATATATGTGAAGTTTCAGAATAAATACATTTTGAAACAATATACAGTGTCTCTAAATACTGCTTTTTCTTTGCGCAGTATGAGTTCAGCGTGATCTTTGACACAAGCCACTTGTCTGGGCAGGAAGAAACACTGACCTTCCTTGTCACGGCCCAAAGGTAAGGGAACCTTTGTACATCTTGATGACTTGGATATTCTTTGTCGCATGGAGTGTGCGTTGCATATGCTTGACAGTTGTGTGATACGAGTTGTAGACGTGTGTGTGTGAAGAAATGAGGTTAAATTACTGGGGCTGAATGCATGTATTTTGGTAATATAGAGGAACCATGTGACGCAGCTTCCTGAAAAATAAGGTAGGATCATAGTTAGATGGTTTTTGCCAGGCAGTTGCAATTCTGAAGGAGCATTTTATGTTCTCTCAGTTGGAAGGCCCTTGTGTTTCTGTGCTCATCCCTTTGGGCCCCGTATCAAGCTCAGCTCAGCTGCAGTTGATAATCAGCACCAGGCAGACCCATTTGTTCCAGCATTTGAATGAAATAAGCGTGCTTGGATGCAAACCAAAAAAGATAAATGCTTTCATCAGATGGCCAGGGATCTCACTGACAGTTTCCAAAGTTGCATGTCTATTTTTTGCCCCTCTGGATCTTCAGCGAGCTATGACAGACTGCGTGAAACAGCTGAATAGGGTACTTCCCCAAGGGCCCTTGGAGCAGGCATTGAAATAGGGTGATGCCAAGTATGCGTGTATAGGGATTTTTTCTCGGGCAGAATAAAAGATGTGACACGTGCTTTGTGCCTTCTAAGATGATGTGCCACAAAGAAGCAGACTCTGTGGGTGATTCAGTCACAGGCATGGTTGGGGTATGTGTGGGAACTGATGATAGCACAGCTGCATTAACCTGGGCTGTGAACTGCTGCTCTGACGTCCTGGGTGTGTGACTGGTTCCTGCTTCCACTTACTGTGTGAGTGGGCCAACTTCATACCCTCCCGTGTCAAAATCAGGATCTCCAGCCTGAATTCTCCTTCCCAATTTGATGACACCTCACCAACCGGCTAGAGATGAGAGATGAGATTTAGCAGTTGCTGAGTGACTGCTCTCATAAGGCGTAGTCCTCCTCTACAGGAACAGCTGTAGGTGGGAACAAGATCCTGCAACACGTGGGGCTAGTATGAAGCACTGAAAGTGAGACCCTGCATCAGAGAGGCAAGATACGTCTTGCACGTTAGAAAAGTTTTATTCTCCGTGAGGAGAAGTTCATCGTATGTTTAGATGACCTCATGATGCTTCTAGGTCAGGAAGATGAATCAGTATCTGCTAGGTGAATGCCAGCTGGTGCAAAGATGGGTCAGCACTGCTTTAAAATTGCCCAGCCAGTGTTTTCCAGATTGTACCGCTCATTTCCCTGCCTTGGATAGCACAGGGCTTTCCTCTGTAACCTCACTCCTCAGATTTCTGTGCCCTACCAGTGAGAAGGGTTAGTCAGTGCCTTTAGATGGAGCAAAGAAATAAATAGTAGTTTGTACACATAGTGCAAATGCTCAGAGGGGTTAAGAGAAAGTTTCTTATTTCAGAAAGATGGGCGGGAGCGAAGGACAGTTGTGTTTTGAAGGATTCAGCTGAACCTCTGAAGACAACAGTGCAGGTCCCAGTGCTGATTAGCCTCGCTTTCTTTGTGACTTTGGGCAAATTACTCAATTCCCTTGCTGTCAAATAAGTGTAATAAAATCTACCACAAGAGTTGCAGGGAGCCCTGGGGTAAAGTCAGTGATAAGGAAATGGAGGGGAAGTGTCTGTGCTGTGGTCAGACTGCAATGAGTAGGGACATTGTTTCCACGCAGAACTGGAGCTAGTCTGGCAGAAACGGCTGGACGCGGAGAAGCTGTGCCATGCTGTCATGGGAAAGTAAGTGTGGCCCTTCAAGTGCCCACTTAAGCCTGTCCCTCGAGGCTTCAAATTTGGCAGTAGCATCTGTAACAAGAGAGTGGTACAGTAGTGGGAGAGATCAATTGGAGAAAGAACTAAATATTACATTACATTTACTCTTTTTTGTTTAAAAAAAAGCCAAACCCAAACCCTCTTCTGTGCTTCCTGGTGTGAACTATTTTTCTAGAGCTAGATTCACTGAGCTATATTCTCCTTTTCTAACAGTACCTTTGCTCTATTTGAAACAGGTAAGCACATACCTATGAAGCCTGTATGGAATTTGACTTGCTTATTCTGCTTGCCACCATGGCATCTCAGTATTTGTGTTGGATGAGAAATGTCTCTATTTTGGACTCTTCTTTGAGCCTATTCAGGAGGAAAAGCTTTTATTAAACGTTTGGTTTTTTTTTTCCTGGGACTGAAAGTTTGTGGGTTTTTTCCATCTGGGCCATAGTTTCATTAGCAGACATGGCTGATGTGTTAGTTGCAGAAAGCTGAGCTGTATCTGTGCATGTCTGTAGCCAGCAGGCTCTGTTTTTGTAATCTGAGCAACTCATCATCTGCATGGTACCACTTGGGATGTTACTGCCTGCTGTTGCCTCAGTGATACTGTCCTCAAATAAATAGGGTCATGTCTTGGGTTTTGCCAGTTTGATTTGTGAGTAAATCCAATGAACTGCAAGGCAAAAGTGATTCCAGAGTCACTGCTGAAGAAATTGGAAATATAGGTAACATATCTTTCAAGATTGTTGTTCTGAGCTGTCACCCACCAAGCAGACTCACCATCAGGATTAGAATAACTAAAAGTTTACGTGTTGGACATGCATTTCAGGAACCTTTCCCAGACTTCGTACATAAGTGATCACACTGAAATAAATTGACTGAAAGGAGATGAGATGGCTCACTTTTCTCTTTCCTCCTTCTGCTTTTGACTGATTGAGGCCACTGCCTTTGAAAATGTAACATAGAAGTGCTTTCTTTATGGCAACTAAGTACAGGAGGAGGGAGTGGAACTACTGAGAGGTTATGGCCAGTTCAGTACAAGGGTCTCACCCAAAAGGTGCTTGTAGTGGCACCGAATTGGTGCTGTGGTAGGATGCAGGTACATTGAAAGCACAGTTTCATTTACTGAGTGAGGACCCTCTGTGGGGTGTGTATATCCCTCCCAAACTGACATACGGTCAGGCTGGGAGAAAATGAACCCTTGCGTTGGAGTCTAAATGTCTTTGTTTCCCTCCACTGCGTATGATGGCTGCGGTAGTTTTGCACTGCCGTTTGAATTTACACCTTGCTCCAAGATAGGATTTTTGGTGTGAGCCTGATCATGTCACAGCCACAGGAGAGCAACCGCAAAACACGTGCTTTGTGTGTGTGTGCCCTCTCCGAGGTGGGTGAACAAACGTAACTCTTAATCTTTAAGAGACTTCTTAAGGAATGCTGACATCACTCAAATAGAGAGGCTCAGAGCGCAAGGCGGAGAGATGGTATCTGTGAAACTGTGTGATATATTGCAAACGCTGTTCATTTACAGCATGTTTATTTTTCCTTTCTGGCACAGTGGAAACCTAGAACGTGCTGAATCTCTACATGATAATACTCTAACCCTGTCGGTGCCCCTGATGCATGAAGTGGACTCATCTATCAATGGGTAAGTACCAGTCACCAAATGAAAACAATAAAAAAAAATAATAATCCTAACAGTAACATCTGAGTCACTTCCAGTGAAAAACTGAATTCTTCCCTCTGTTTACATGTAGCCAGACTGTTGCTTTTTCCCTGTTTCCCAGACTCTGGAAATACAGACATACTGGGAATGTTATTTGTCATGCCTTTCATTCCAAGACTGTACCTCTTTCTCACTCCTTCCTAGCTAATGCTAATTAGTTACCATCACATTTATAGTAGGTATTTTAGTGATCATATTTGAATTCAAGTGATTCTATAAATGTGATGGACCTTAAAATAAAATAAGAAGAGAACAAGTAAATCACATTTTGTTCCTCAGGGCACATCTTTAAGGATGTGGTTGAGAATCACCAGGCCAAAGGTTAGGGTCAAATGTTCTGGGATTTTAAGGAGCTTGGTGGAGTCTAGCTGTTCGCCTTTCTGTTTAATTTCACAATCAGAATTCACTTCTGCTTCTGTTCATTTTCCCACTCTCTCTGCTCCCTGATCTGCGAGGCATCTGAATATCGCACAAGGAGCATCGCTCACCCTTTGACTGAAATACTTGTATAACACATAGCCATTGTCCTCTCCCCGGGGCTGCACATGTGCGAGTTCCTGCCTTTGTACTCAGGAGTCTTCCCTTCCACTCCTGCATTACAATCTTAAGTCTAGAAAGAAGGGTTTGTGGTCAGTCCCAACAGACAGACCATCCTCTAGCATAGACGGTGCTAGAGTTGGACTTGGGGGACCTAGTCACTGGAGGTGAATTAGCATCCATGTAGACTGAGAAAGTTGTAGGAACAAAGTTACCTGAACTGACCTGTGATTTGACTGAAAAGCTGGGTAAACTCAGGTTCATGGCCTAGTCTAGGTCTTAGCACATAAAGCTGATTTTTCCCCCCTTGTGGCATAGAAATAAAATCTCTTAATTACTGCCACAATAGTCAGAATGGGTAGAAGATATGCTTGAGCCTGCTCAGAGAAGTGGAGAAGCTGTCAGATCTCACAAGATGACTAGCAAGGACAAAAATCTCTTCTATATTGAGAGTACAGTCTCGTGTTCTTAATGAACGTTTTTGAATACTTTCATTGTTACAGATTGTGTAGAAATTTAACTCTGTATCCCTTGCTTCTTGATGCTTTGATAAAGGTGGATTTTTCTACAGCTTTACAGATATGAATGCTTTCATCTGTGTCTTTAGATCTCTGTTTGTCACCTACAGAATACTGCATGCCAAAAAAACTGATAAAAAATGGGCTCTTTTCTTTCTCTTGAGAATGTAGCTTTTTAAAGCACAAGGTCTCTGAAATTATAAACCCCACCCAACGGACTATGTGGATTATTTTTTTTTCTTTCTCATAGATAAAGCTTAGTTAATTTAAGTTCACAGAAATGTGCAACTACCAGGGAAAAGTTGGGTTTATTGGAGACCACAACATTCCCAGGCATGGTAGTATTAGTAATGCTCTTTTTTTGGACAGTGTATTTTTAAAGTGTTTTTTTTATTAGCTATCCTACATTTGAATCTACGAGAGCAAACTTCATCCCTGGTCATAAATAGCCCGGAAGGGCTTGTACCATGTTTGGGAGGAGCCTTCTGGCACAACGCTGTAAACTGGAGGAATAAATCTGTCTCTCGCTATTTCCCCTTGCGATCCCTGGCATAGGAAGCAGGCAGGAGAAAAAGGAAATGTACTTAGAGCTTAAAATCCTATCTCGAAAAACTCTGACCCAAAAGGACAACCTGGGAAGGAAGCAGAGTTTTAGGCAGTCCCTCATCAAAGTTTTTCTGAAATGACACCAGGACCCTTTCCAGCCAGTGGAGCAGCCTGAGATTAGGAGGAGGCACAAGGGATGCTTAGAGCATTCCTAGTCATCTTCTGCAGAATTTCCAGGTAGTGTGTTGTGCTTCCAAGTCTTTTCTGATAAAACCCGACTGTGTTTTACTTTGTGATAAGATGATACAAGTGGTTGAGGAGTCTTGACCTGTGCCACTGTAGTTCAAAGCAAGTTATATCCCCCTCTACTCTTCCCTTTAACCATCTGCTAATCGTAAAGGTAGTGATGCTCCGATAATTAATGAAGTGTTTATTCCTGCAATGCTATGTAAATGGTAGATAAAGTGGAAATGTTACTTTGGTCAATGTGTAACTGAAAGTATTCCTATTAGTAACTGTTTCTTCAGATTAACTTGGTAGTGCGAATGTTTTCCTGTGTTACACAAAGCTATAGGACTTGCGCAAATTATCCATGGCAGGGGGCCCTGAAGAAGAGGTTTTGTGATAGGAAAGGAGGAAGAGAGATAAGATAAGTAATCAAAAGAAGTCTGCTTCAGCGGTGGGATGTTAACCCGTGTCATTTGAGATGCTGCTTGTGTAGTCTGGTGTTGTCAAGAGGAAATCAAATCACAAATAAGAGATTAATGTAAAGTGGTCCTGTAGAATTTCACATGACCAGAAAGCAAGGGGTACAATTCAGCTTGCCACAAATATGTTTAATTTTGGTGACAAACACAGCTTACTAAATCTGGATCTTGATCTTTCAGAGAAGTCTTCCCTACTTCATTTTTCTACGGTGATTCTGTGGAAGCATCCAACTTTGTTCAGTTGGAAAACCACGAATGCCTTTTCCAGTCTCTGAACTTCACACTGCAGGTAAAACTGATCCTTATTTTGACTGCTTTCTTGCTTGACAGCACATTCTAGTTTTGGATGTCTCTTATTCTGAGTGTGGTATGGGCTTGGTGCATGTTTCTGAATCACAGTATGCTGTGCAATGCATTCTTGGTTGGATGCCATATTTACAGCGTGCAGGGATGGTATATTTCCTTGTCTGAATGTATTATAACAAGAATTGCAAACAGGGCATCTCCCTTCCATAGGAGTGAAGCTCCTACCATTCATTTCTCTTTTACCTTTCATCGCGTGCTGAGCAAAGAGCTCTAGTTACTCAAGTGCCTCATCTTGGATGTAGTCGCAGGTTCGGAAGGGAGATGTAATTCTTTTTAGCGGCGTGGTCATTGAGCAAGGCAGTGGGCAGCCTTTATCCATGAGAACAAACACGTACCTGTGCAAGGGATTCAGATTTGCTCAATGCCACCAGTATGAAAATGTTTATAGCAGTATACGATACAGGGAAGAGACTGTGACACTGAAAAGACAGGTGTGAGAAGGTTTCATTACATGTCTCACAGCATCGCAGTGTTATTCACGTACTATCTGTAGATTACACTTCACGTGGCAGTTGGGTTCCTGATGTGTCAAAATGTAGGGATCATTTATTCTAACGAACTCTTGTGATGCGGCTGAAATGAACTTGTCTCGCTGCCATAACTGTATATTACAGGCACTTCAAATCCTTTTTGACCGCTAGATGGAACTAGGGAATGATAAATCATGCAGAGGTGGGGGAATCATTTATTGCGAAAAATAGTCTTTCGCCTTTTTTCCCCTTTCTGTTCTCCTAGGCACGAGTGCCACTCAGCTCATAATGCATAACACATGTCTGCCTCCGTGGACAGACTGTGGTCCAGAGCAATTAAGCCCCCACTGTCATGCAGTGCCCTTAGCTATTTACTGAAAAGGAGTGAAAGCAGGATTTCAGGACATTAAAGCTTTTGTGAGCCAGGCTATTAATTCTTGTGATTCTGATTTCATTCTTGAGGGTTTAGAGGTCTTCCCCTCTCCCTCCTCCCCATAGCCAGTTATTGGTTAAAAACAGATAAAGAACAGATGTACTGATGCTTTAACTAGATGAACATTTTCAATAAAACAAAGTGACAACAGGTAAGGGAGAGAGAATCTATATATTGGCCGAGCCACCATTTGTCCTGCCCCATCCTCTCATCTCTCATGCACACACTTACAAGTTGCAATATTAGTGTTTTTTTTCTTCCATATAGAAGTAGAAAATTATATGTAACAAGTCTCAGATCTGCTCTCCGGTAACATGGTAAACCTCATAATTGTGTGCATCAGAGAGAAAGGGTAGAGTTTCATAATGGGCCAAGCATGGTTTGTATCACTGTTTGCCTAATTGTTTTTAATGATTTGCCTGCTATTTATTAAACTTCTCCAGATGGAGAAAAGTAATAGTTTCTTAGTGAAGAAAGAGATGATTTACAAAAATACGGGACTTTATAGTAGTTTTAATATGTGAAAATCTATACCATGTCCAATGTTAATAAGGAAACAGATCTGTGCATCCTTTTTTGGGGGTAACAAGATGTGCAATGAAAATGTCTTTTCTGAATTAACTCTTGTATCTCATCTCAGTGAGATAATCAAGGTTTTTTTTAAATGTCTAACATGAAACATTATGTTTGTATTTCATGCAGCATTTATCATGCTCCATTGTAGTGGGATTTCTCCCCCTGCCTGGAGCCTCAGGGTTTTTGTAAGGATTTGGCACTGGGTAACCGATTCTCTTTATCAGTCAGGCATTTCTTCAAATATAAACAGTGTTGGAAGAAGGAAAACCTCTTGGTTTGAATATTTGTACTTCAAGCAATTAACAACTGATTGCTACATCTTTTGACAGTACAATCTCATATTCTAATGGGCTTAATATTTTTACTGTATAGACTTATATATGTGTTGTTAGAAACAACCAGGAAATATTTTTCCTAGTGAAAAAATGTAGATAGACATGAAAACTTATTTTCATTGACATTTTTCCATGGATTGTTTCTTTCCAGCAAAACCCCACAAATTTTGGAATTTTCACTGGATATGTTTTGGTGGTGGACTGGAAATTCTTTGAGTTTTTTGCTGAAAATTTGTGGGGGGTTTGATAGAAAGCCAATATTTTCCACTAAGAGTTTCATTTAATTGAAAACCCCAGAACTTGAATGGAAGTTGGTCACATGCATTTCCTGGCAACTCACTCAGCAAACCCGCAGTCTGGTAGTCACAATCTTCATTACTCTGGCTTCTGCTCCATAAGGAAAACATATGCAGAATATAATGCAGTGGTTACCAGATGGAAGTGAGAATATTAACTGAGACAGCAGTATTTCTTACAGTCTTCCGGATGGTATTACCAAAACACTCAAAGAGTACTAGCAGTGTCTTTGTATATGAGGTAGAAGTCTTATGCTATTTGTATTGATGACTGGTAATTATCCTGCAAAACTACTTCTCACTTGATATAAGAGCTGTGCCTAAAGACTATTAGATAAGCTAAACCTTTGACTTCATCCTGATACTTAGAAAAGAAGTCTCTAGTCTGAAGGCATTGAAAAACTTGCATAGTATTTGAATTTTTTCAAATTTACCTGTACTCCCAGCTCAGATTTTACAGTAGTTTCCTATGTAGAAGTAGTCATATATGGAATTTTATTTTACTTTTTATGCATTTATATGTGTCCTTGCTTTATAGGTTTACAATGCTGGACCAAGTACTCTCCCTGGAGCTTTTCTTGACATTTCATTTCCAAATCGCCTCTCTGCCACTGGAGCCGAAATCTTTCACGTTCAGCAGATGATGGTGAGTACGTTATGATGTGTTCTGAGCCCAGCAAGGCACTGAGAGCTATCAATGACTGAAACAAAAAAATTCCAGCAGAAGTAGAGGAATCAGTTGCTTTTTTAGACCATAAAAGTTTCTTTATATCTGTGGCCAGATGATCGGAAATAGCTGAACCCCTCCAGTTCTTGACTGCTGTCCCCCACCTAAGGCAAGCAGCCGGTTGTACGTTCCTGATTTCCTACAATGCAGCGTAAAACTAGGTCAGGCTAATCCTGAAGGAAATGTGGAGAACGCTTCCCTGAGTCACACCTCCAAAGAGGATTCAGTCTTAATCAGTCCTCCCTGATTAAACGGTGTATGTAATATCAGCAGGGTGTGCTACCAAGCTGACTCACGTTCCCTGTTTTTTTCTGTGGTTATCTGCAAAAATGCTGGCTAGGTCTAAATACATTATCGATATCTGTTTTTCTGTTGTCCGTGTTATAATTTGCTCTTTTTGAGTGTTCTTTTAACAAATGTAAGTAACAGATAAATTTATTCTTTCAACACAACGCTTTTCAAAAGATGATTTTGTGTAAGCTACAAAGAAAATTAAAATAAATTGTGGTAAAGGAGACACATTCTTAGAAGTAATTTCTAATATTTATTTCTTACTTTCAGAGCTTTTGTTAAACCACTAAAATGCCATCATTTATATTGTGGTGGCCAAGAGAGGGAAACCTGACTACTGAGGTGAATTTATTGCTGAAATTTAGAGTAATTTCTCTTTGTGAGATGGAGCCAGCTCTTTGGGCTACTTGGAAAGAAGTATTTGTTGTTAGCTACTTTTCTAGCCTTTTGGTTAGAATGCGCAGATGACTGTGTCACTGAATCTGTGTAAACTTAGATCCAGTAAGACCTTTCTAAGCAGGTTTCCAAGATCTGTGCTGTTGAAAAGTATGAGATAAATATTTATATGGCTTACAGATGGGCACTAAAGACGGAATCACTGAGAAACAGATCTGGGATATTGTATGAGGCACCAGTATTGTATAGACCGAGTCAGTTCTCCGACGACTGAATTAATTCTCCAGCCTGTATCTCATTTTCTGTGGCATTGAGTTTTAATGTTTCATTTAGTCCAGCCACATACATAGAAGATCACCTTTTCTTCGACACATTGCCTGTCAGAGGATCGTGACCCATTTTCTTGTCCCTTCCCTGGTCTCTGTGCGCTGTGGAGTGGGTGTGTGTCTGTTTGCAGCAGCAGAGAGGTGGGAGTCTCCGTAACAGATTTTGTCTGCCCAAATGCTAGTGTCTTCTCTAAAGTCAGTCATCCTATATATTCCTATATAGCCAAGAGAGAGGAATAGAAAATTCAGCCCAGTCTGATGAATTCCTTCTAGGCATTGCTTATTTCTCTATGTTGACTATTCCAGAAGTCTGGGGAATTTGTCTTAGCCAAGACACCTGTTTTGCACGCTTGAATCAGCTGAGGTGTACACTACCCACCAAGTGGGCAAGGGCTGATTTCCAGGCATAGTTTGTCATCATTGCTACACAAGAGCCTAAGTCACACTGACAAGGATGGAATGGACTATATGGTTTTGAATAGCTGTTAGAAAAACAAGGCGAAAACCTTACATCTTGCGCTTGACTTGTTTTTCACTGCTGTTTTACCTCTGTGTTACTTAAAGGAGGTCCAGCTGGGTAGTGTGGTCTTGGGTACTGTGCTAATAAATACTTGCAGGGTTTGTATCCCTTTTCCCCGCAACAGGTTGTGTTTCCCCTCGCGTTATTTGACGTCTCTCTTCTGCTTTGCAGTTTGTCTTTGTAGAAATTTCAAAGTGCTGTTGTGAGACCTAGTTGCATTGCAGGCTGAAGAGTGGTAGTAGGCAAGTATGAGTTTGAGAGGTGTCTGCATGATACACTGGCATACCCTGGGTCATTTTGACCACTGATTTTGAGTATATGGTCAGTGGGAGCACTTTCTGAGCACCTCTGACATGTTAATATATGTTCTCCAAGTAAATCCTGTCTGGGATAGTGGTTATCCCTGCTTCACAGATAAATAATTCAAACACCAAATGGTTTGCCTGAGGTCACACAGGAAATTTGTGTTAGAGCCAGGCACTGAACCCAGGTCTCCCAAGTCTTACTATTGTAACAGGAAAAGCATCCTACCCTCTTTCCTCCTGCCTCTCTCCCACTAAGCTTTTATTGACTCAAAAAGGAACTAAAATGATGAAGCTTTTCATCTTTTCACGGACCAAATATACTTCGACAAACAAACAAAAAACCCTAAAAGCAGCAGATTGGAATGATCTTTGGAAAATGAGTTAGAACAGCTGTTTTTCAAGAGCATTTTTGTAAGCATAGTCATTAAATATTTCAAGCTTTTGCTTATTTTGAACTTCCCAGAATCTAGACCGCAGTGAAGGTGGTAGTATCCTTTCAGACAGCGCAGGTGTTTCTGTAATCATACCTTTATACCTATAGTCTAGCCGTTCTGGGTGTCAGTGTTTGCAGACCTTTCAGAATAGCTGTCATTAATACAGAGGATTAGGAATTGTCATTTGTCTGTAACTGGGTTTTTTTAAAGCTATTAATTCTTTTGCCACTTCTCTGATGTACAGTTCAGCAGTGGAATTTATGGGTGAAAATGCATAGTAAAAACACTAGAGTTTGTGCCTCAAATACACATATACCACACGTGATAGTGCCAGGAGCTAATTCCTTCATGTTGTGTTGAATGATCTAATCTTTCAGGCACCAAAAAAATAATAAAAGGAAGAGAGTCACATATGGCCCACTGGAACGGTCTGTATCTCTGGGAGGTGTTAATAGGAGTTATTATCTTGCTGCTCTTAGAGGAAATGACAGCCCTCATGCTTCCTCTGTTCCTGTTGCTCTAAGCTTTTGGCTTTATTGCAGAAACTACTTTAAGATTTTCTTCGAGAGAAATTCAGGTCACAGAGATGTTTTGACATTTGGAGTTCTGCCTTAGAGATGTTCAGATGCTCTTCAAGGGGTCTTGGGAGTTTCTGCAGCACTTCGCCCAGCAAAACCCCTAATACATGAAGGAAACAAGTCAACAGTAAAAGGCAGAAGTAAAGGAAAATGGATAATTGAAAGCAAGCTAGAAGAAAACAAGTGAACTTCCTCCCTATCAGAAATTCTAAACCAAAAGGAAATGCTGGAAATTTTACAAGTTATTTTAACTAGGGAATTTCACCATTGACACTGATTTTTACATAGTAGATACTCAAATTCTGCAATGGTAAATATTTTGGAATCAGATAAGACAAATTAGTACTTGTTTGTTTTTATGTATTTTTGTATTTGTTTTCTTGCGGAGATTTCAAGCCAGGTTAAAAACATAATAACTGAAATGTCTCAGCTTGTTGGAAAAAGTGTTGTGATAGGAACAGTATAGGTGATGACACAGAAGAGCTTCACCCAGACAGAGTACAGCAGGATTAGTGTTAACAGAAATGTATGTTCTCCACTCTTCAAGCTATTGATTATCTGTTCTTCCGCAAAGGAAAACAGTGCTCATTATACTTGTGTGTGTGTTGGTTTTGAACTGAAAGATTAGTAATTTCCTTTGGGTATCCAGCTAATTTGGAGGGCAAGGGAAGCACTACTTGACTTGCCAGTCAAGGAGCTGCTTTCCAGGGCATCCAAAAAGATTTTCACAATGGGAGTTCCTACCAAATTAACCAGGGTATTTCCTGAAGCTGTTGATAAATTAGCAATGTGTCCGGGATTACTCTGATGCTGGCTTTATGGAACTGGATCAGATTGTTGCCTTCCTGTTTATTTTATTTCCAGCGAAGGTAAACACAATTATGAGGAACGAGGGACTCACAGTTGGAAACTGAGTTTGTCTGTTTGAACTGGAAGCCAACTGCAGTGCAAGCAGATGATCCTCACCCTTTCTCTGGAGGGACCAAGCTCTGCAGGGCTGCCAAGTTGCTTAGACTCTGGTCAGACAATTGTCACCAGAATCAAAGATACACGGTGTTAACCCAGAGCAAGTGTCTTGTGAGTTTTTGGAAGGAGCTGTTACTTCTTCTATTGCATGCATCATGCAGGCCAGCAAGCAGTGATTTTTATTTTTTATTTTTTTTTAAGAGCCTGGTAAGGTCAATCAGTACCAAGGATATAAAGAACTGTGTTGTTATCACTGCTGACATAAGAATCTTGTTGGAAAGTCAGATGCGCGTGTTGCAAGACAGTCTCTTTGAAGAGTTTGCAGTGTAGGCAATGAAAAGGGAATTCAGAGGAGGGAGGGAGAAGGAAAGGAATACTGTCCTCAATTTTCTGATGAGAAACTCCCTCCCTGCATGTAAATTTTGATATCTAAGTGTCGTAATTATGTTTTAGTAATTGCTAGTAGTAGACTATTTTTAAATTACTGTGTTCTCTTACTCTAGTAATTAATGGAGAGAGAGAGGGGCATAGAAACAACTCTGGAGAAGCATTTTCCAGTCTCCACTGACAATACAGAAGCCATCTAGTCTCCCTGAGTTTCCCTAGGTGTCTAAGCTTAGACTTCGGGAATTATCTCCAGAGAGCAAAAAATGGGTTAAACCTCAGTCTTGTGAATGCTGTTCCCATTAACCTTGAGTGTGCCAGTTAGCTCAAACCCCTAGCTCCTGGTCCAGTGTTCCCATCCCTTTTTGGTTAGGGAACAAAATAAAAAGTCCTCCTGTTGGAAAGACAAACAGAAGTCCTCCAGTTGTCCTATTATGCTTGGCAAATTCACTTCACACTTCTGCTTTCTTCTCTGTGAGCGGGTGAGACCTGGATTATGGCTTTATGAAAGCAGAGTATCAGTGAGATTTAAAACAAAAAAAAATATAAAGAAAAGCTGAATTGAAAATTAATTAACAGCATGGAAGAGTTGAAAAGAATTCTTTTTCCAAGTTGTCTTTTAAGTGAATGACTGCCTGAGCATGGGACTGTAGAAAAGCTTGTCATGTTCAGTAAGGAAAACGGTTGAAATAAACCTTATTCTCTTCCTGTGAAGACTG